GAATCAGCATTATACATGATTTACCTAAAATGGCCGCTAGGGAGTTTCCCCTTGTCATCGACTAACACCCTCATTTGCAAGATGGCGCTGGAATCTGGGGGAGACCTCCATGATGCCTGTAACATCACACCGGTAGGAAGAGCAATAGATGAACCACTTAACACCTAACCAATTATTGATGTATTATTCTCTGTTATCTCTGACAATGCATATGATTTAATTTTGCTTTATAAGGGACATGCCGTCCCCCTGGAATAAACTCTTCCTGAAACCTGTGTCTGGTGTGAATTACTTCAGGAACGTGCACGCATACTTTAATTTGGCCGGGGGCAGATATACAAGATTATCAATTACTTGATTGATTCCACAACAATTTGGCGCCGAATTTGGGACACTGGTTTTCGCTGGTTCGGACGGCCGGAAAACGGGACCGGAGTGGACCCCTGGAAAGTGGGACAACCGGAGCCTGATCACCTCCTAAATACAGTAGTTTGCCTGTATTCTCCTGTTTTGTGTCGGTCTGCCTCCGTGTCCACTTCCGGCTTCCAGAAGGCTACAAGACAGTCTCTTGTGTAGGTGTCGATGGTACCCCTAGAAACAACCCATTAACTAACTTGCGAGTGGGTTCTGACATTCTCTCACGTTTTGTTGTCTCTTCTACTTGTCCAATTAACCTGCTAGGTGCTGATGTTCTGTCCTGTCTACAAGCTTATATCTCCTTCACCGCCGATGGCCAGGTTCAGTTATTAACCCCCTTTCTCGCAAAGATACTTCTGTTCTCTGCTCTCTGCCCCTACTACTGCACATGACATCTCCCACAGAGGAGGTAAGGGTCCCAGATGCCCCCCGTGCCCTGGATAGGGTCCCGACCAAACTTTGGTCCACAGGCCCAGATGACATTGGACGCCTACGCGTCCCACCTGTGGTTGTCATACTAATGGAGGGAGCAAACCCACCAGGAAGGCCACAGTACCCAATGAAGCCTGCACAAGCCCTTGCTATCTCCAAATAAGTTGAAAGTCTGTTAGCAAAAGGTGCTCTGGTGAAGTGTGTTTCAGAGTGTAACACCACTCGATTTCCAGTGAAGAAGAAAACTGAAAAGGGTCAACCCAACCAATACTGTATGTATTGCACAGGGTGCACAAAATTCACCAACTCAGTTTGCGAAAGCTATGTCTACCGTACTAGAACCGTGGCAAAAATCTCATCCAGACATGGTCCTCCTCCAATATGTAGATGATTTACTCCATTGTGCGGATGACTTCACAACTGCTGAACGAAATTCAGAAGATCTTCTTTGTTTCCTCGCTGAAGAAGGTTGTAAAGCCTCCAAGAAGAAACTTCAGTGATGCTGGCCCTCTGTGGTGTTCTTGGGACATTGTCTTTCCCATGGCACCCTAACAAGAAACAGAGTACTCGCTATTACAAATCTCTCTCCCCATCTGCACATCAGGCTCTTCATGCTTTCCTAGGCCTCATCACATACTGCAGATCCTGGATTCCCGAGGCTTCTCAGCTCATGCAGCCTCTCTATGATGCCTTAAAGACTGAACCATTTTCATTGTCTTCAACAGCTCGTAAATGTTTCTATACCCTCCAAAGGGCCATCTCCTCAGCCCCAGCTTTGGGCCTACCTAACTATCAGAAGCCATTCAAATTTTTTGTCTCTGAAAACATGGGCCATGCTTCAGGGGTTCTTATGCAGTCACATGGTTCCCGTCAGCGCCCTACTGGTTACTTTTCATGCATGCTGGACCCCGTGGCCAGAGGTGGCCCCTCCTGTTTGCGTGCTGTTTTTGCTGCCAGTGCCCTCTTGGACAAAACCAATGACTTTGTTCTTGGACATAAACTAACAGTCCTTGCTCCTCAAGATATCACTGCTATCTTGAATCAAGTCCAGCAGAAACATCTCTCATCCCAGAGACATCTCCGCCTTCAAACCTCCCTCCTCTTGCCTGATAATGTCACTCTGCAAAGTTGTTACTCTTTGAACCCGGCCACTCTTCTGCCACTTCCCAAGGGGGTCGTGCCACAATACTGGTACAGTCTGGACATAAACCTTGATGTTCATATGGAACTTCAAGTGAAAAAGCCCACGGTTCCACATGATGAACAGCCTGAGGACTACTTACATTTCACCCTGTGGTTCAGAAACACCCCAGGACCTGACCCATACTATGAAGAAGAATTATTCAGCCTAGTGGAAATATGTATCACCCTGACAGATCTGTTTCGTGACTCCAAAGGAAATATTGTTATCTTAACCTGTCCATGGAGGTATCACATTTATACCACCATTGGGAGGTGGCTATTCCTCATATCTCTTTCACCAAGTCTCCAGATCTCTCAGGGAAAGAACTCGGCCCAATGGCCAAAACATGGAGTACTGCAACTCAAGAACAACTCACATTGGAGGGGGTCACTAAAAGGACCATAAATTGCAAAACAGTTGGTTATCCACGATATCACACAGAGATATGTGAAGACACCCCTCCTACAGAACAGGACCCGGATGCACCTCATGAATGTTTTGCACAGATGAAAATGGAGGCAACCCATTTCCCAACAGTACACGAGGCTGCTCTACCAGATCCTGACTTCACCCTGTTTGTGGATGGTTCTAGATTTGCGGACACACAGGGACAATATCATACCGGATTTGCTGTCACCACAGAAGACCAAATACTGCAAGCATCTTCACTTCCATCATCTAAGTCTGCACAAGAGGCTGAACTAACAGCCCTTACGGTAGCATGTAAAATGTCTGAAGGGAAGCGTGTTAATATTTACACAGGCTAAAGGTATGCCCTGGGCGTGGCACATGATTTAGGTTTAACCTGGAAAACAAAAGGGTTTCTTACAGCAACGGGTATGCCTGTGAAACATGGCGCAGCTATCAAAGAATTGATGGATGCCTTACTGCTTCCTGAAGAGGTGGCCATTCTGAAGGTAAAGGCCAATGGGAGATTGAATTCAGAAGAAGCACATGGCAATCATTTAGCCGACCAGGCTGCTAAGGATGCAGCACGCCAGTGTTGGGAAGTGGACAGAAGAGTGTCCGTTGAAGAGACTCCTATTTACACTATGCAAACCCAACCTACCGATCTCAAGTTCCTGAGAGAACAACAAGCAGCTGCCACCCCTTAAGAAAGACAAAGCTGGAAAGATAAAGGGGCAACCATCCAGAATGAAGTATACACAATCAACCTCAAATTCTGTCTACCCAAGAATATGTACCCAGCTGTTGTTCAATGGGCCCATGGGCCAGCTCATTTATCTAAGCACCTCATGAACTCTCTGATTGACAAATATTTTGAAGCACCCGGAATCACTACCCTGACAAGAAATTACTGCAAATCTTGTACTATCTGTGCCAGATGCAATTCAGGGAAAATAATTAAAGCTGCACCAAACCATTTGGCTAAACCGCAGTACCCTTTCCAAAGGATCCAAATTGATCATATCCAAATGCCAAAGAGTGGCCGGTATGAATATGCACTGGTCATAGTGGATATGTTTTCGGGATGGCCAGAAGCTTTTCCTGTCGCTAATCTCACTGCCAAGACCACAGCAAAGCGCCTACTTACCGAGATCATCTGCAGATATGGAGTTCCTGAAGTAATCGAGAGTGACCAGGGAACATCCTTCAGCGCGTTACTGGCCAAGGAAATCTGGGCAGCACTGGGGGGTGACCCTTGCATTCCACACACCCTATCACCCACAGAGTAGTGGTAAGGCAGAACGCATGAATGGCACTCTGAAAGCCAGGATGCTTAAGATGGCCCAAGAAACGAACTTACCCTGGCCATAAAGTCTTCCCATAGCACTATTTAGTGTAAGATACACTCCAAGAGGGAGATTTAGCTTATCCCCCTACGAGATTTTATTTGGTACAGCACCGAGGTTAGGTTGTTATTTTCCTCAGTCAGATGCAATGGTGGATTATATAACTGCACTCTCTCATGCCTTGACCAAAATCCATGTGCAGGTGTTTTCTTCTATTCCAGATCCAGAGTCAAATACAGGCACACATAAGCTACTTCCTAGTGACTGGGTTATGATCAGGAAATTCCTAAGGAAACACACTCTTGAGCCAAGAGTCCATCCCAAGTCCTATTGACCACGTCTACCTCAGTAAAATTGGCAGGGAAGAATACCTGGATACACGCTTCACACTGTGAAGAAAGTTCTTGATCCAGAGGATGCAGATTCCGCTAAACCATGAGCTTCCTGTGCCTACTCCTGCTGCTAGGCCTATTAAAGGACCAACAAGTTGCTATTACCAAAGATAATCATGTTTACACATTTTGGTATAACACACATGTAGCTACTTTTACCTTTGATTACTTTGATATTGTCTCTTGTACCTTTCCGCAATCACAACACTCAGCAATATACAAAGATATACCTAATAAAAAGGACTCATATATTTGTGTGACAGGCGGTCATTGGGGACATCACTGTTTTACCTGGGGATGGATGGAACACAGGCCGACCATGGGGCTACAGACCACAAAGTGCCTTGAATAGGGTGGACAGACATGTGAAACCTCTGTTACACAGAATGACTTTATGTAAGCCAACAGGGTCAACCCCAATGAAACTCATTTTGAACATAAAACACCCCAGCCCTAGAGACACTGGAGAATATGTAATGGGAATGTACTGGAGAGGGGGTGGGTCATATAACATGTTGGGGAATTTCTATTTACAAGGCATGCATACATCACCTGAATGGGTAGACTCTACACACATGACCATTAACCCTCTCAAACCACACATTAAGACCCTTAAAGACATGGTGGCTATTGCCAATCCTACATTCAAAGACACTATTGCTGTGGAGACTTTTTCAGACACCAACCTATGGCTTGAGTGGATGAGGTATAATGCTAATTCTCACAATAGAACTAACAGTTATGTTTGTGGCGAGGCCAGACCCCATCTGGGTACAGTGCCTCTTAATCTACCTCCCGATGTCAAAATGTGTTTTCTAAGCCTCTATCAACAACAAACTCATCAGTGTGTCAACAACAAACTCATCAGTATGTGAATCATGGAAAAAGGTATACCCAATAACCCAAAGGGATATCAAGCCACCTGATGGACTCCCCGTGTACCCAGGTAATTACACTTGCTACACTACACACGGAGCCACAGGTAAATTTGTGGGTAAATTCCCTTCTGGCTACTGTGCTACATATCGAAAACCTCCCACTACCCTATTAATAAATCAAGTTAAATCATTGGGAGACATTTATTGGCTATGTGGAGACATGCAACTCAGATCTAAGATAACTGGCCTGTGGTGGGGGGAATGCACCCTAGCTAAAGTTATCATGCCCATACATATAATATCTGATATCCACCAAGGCCCGGTTGATTCACCACACGTGTATTTTAGGGTAAAAAGAAAAAAAAACCTATTCAAGGCAGTTTTGACCCACATATATATATCGATGCTATAGAAGTACCGAGGGGGGTACCAAACGGGTTTAAGACCAGAGATGAGGTTGCGGCAGGATTCGAATCCTTGATCAAGCTCATCACCGCTAACAAGAATCAATTATATTTACTATAATCAGCAACGTTTTGTCAATTATACTAGAGATGCCCTCCAGGGCTTGGCAGAACAATTACAGGCTACCTCCCAAATGACATTCCAGAATTGAATGGCCTTAGACATGATCCTAGCAGAGAAGGGGGGCGTGTGTAAAATACTCCCCGACACCATGACATGCTGTACTTTCATCCCAGACAATACAGGCCCCAATGGTAAAGTGACTATGGCCATAGAGAAATTAGAAAGTCTCTCTGACGAATTAAAAAGGAACTCAGGGGTCTCCAATTCATGGGACAGATGGTTTGGATGGATGAGTTGATGGCAGAAAGTTCTCTTTCAAGTAGGTATGGCAGTTCTAACAGTAATAATTCTCTTCCTTTTTCTGGTCTGCTGCGTGATGCCCTGTGTGCAGAAATATTTACAAAAGACTGTAGATCAGACCATTGACCACACCACACCTACATCAAGATATCGACGATATAGCTTGTGACACACCGCACACACCTCTTCAGTCCCATCACTTCAAAAAGACAACTACTTCTCTATAGGGACAGCATAGGGACAGCGTCTGTTTCTACGGGCAGGAGTCTGTCGCGGGAGATATAGTGGGTTAGCTACTACGGGATACCCGCTCAGTGAAGCGTTCGAGGCCTGTTCAGACATATGAGCTGCAGCCAATTAGGGACATTATTAGGGTTAGTTTGTAGTTGCCTACTTAGTAAATAGTCATTTTAAGGGCTGACTGTTGTGGACAAAAACATTAACCCAATTTATGTTAGTAAAATGCCTATTTACTCAGCATAACCACAATCAGCATTATTCAGCATTATACATGATTTACCTAAAATGGCCGCTACGGAGTTTCCCCTTGTCATCGACTAACACCTTCATTAACAAGCTTGTGCTGGAATCTGGGGGGACCTCCATGATGCCAGTGACATCACACCTGGTAGGAAGAGCAATGGATGAACCACTTAATCCCTAACCAATTATTGATGTATTATTCTCTGTTATCTCTGACAATACATATGATGTAATTTTGCTTTATAAGCGACATGCCGTGCCCCTGGAATAAACTCTTCCTCAAGTTTTTCATTAACCCGAAACCTGTGTCTGGTGTGAATTACTTCAGGAGCGTGCACGCATACTTTAATTTGGCCGGGGGCAGATATACAAGATTATCAATTACTTGATTGATTCCACAACAGTTATGGACTTCCATTCCCCCCCAGTCCAGGAGATTCCCCCCGCGGCCCCGGTGACGTCAAGAGAGCTACAAGCACTGGTGGACACCGAAATACAAGCCCTCTTCGACAAAGGGGTGGTTCAGTGGGCGCCAGACAAAGGAGGTTTCTTCAGCTCCATTTTTCTAGTCAAGAAAAAAACGGGAGATTTTCATCCGGTTATAAACCTGAGGAACCTGAACAACTTTGAATCCTATCAACACTCCAAGATGGAAGGCATCCATCTTCTAAGAAACTTGCTGCGCCCAGATGATTGGTTCACTCGTCTAGACCTGAAGGACGCATATCTATCCGTTCCGGTCGAATCCGGATGTCAACGCTTCCTACGCTTTGTTTGGAAAGGGAGGCTGTGCCAATTCGCCTGCCTGCCCTTCAGCCTCAGCTCGGCTCCATGGTGTTTCACCAAACTGTTAAAACCGGTAACGGCACGCCTAATGCATTCGATGTCTGATATATCTGGACGATTTGCTTCTATTCTGCGAGGACATCTCCAGACTGAAATCTCAGATGCTTTACATGGTCTCTTTGTTCGAATCCCTGGGGTTTGTGGTCAACCGATAAAAGTCAGCCCTCACACCAACGCAGGTAGTTCAATTCTTGGGATTCGAGATAGATGCGACCCAGTGCATCTTATGCCTCCCACAGGCCAAGATCACAGCCATTCGGAAAGAAATTCAACGGTTCCTAGGCCAAAAAATGATCCCACTCAGGGTCCTGGCACGAGTAGTGGGCCCCTTATCCGCATCAATCCAGGCCATCTACCCAGGACCCCTTCACTAAAGGGCCATGCAGCACCTGAAAGCACGCTTCCTACGCAGGAAACCCTCCTACGACCAGCCGATTCCCATAACGCAGGAAGTCAAGACCGAACTTTGCTGGTGGCTGTTGCACATGTCTGGAACGGCAAAAGCAATCTTCGGCCTGACTCCAGACTTTGTCCTGGATCCGGATGCGAGCCTATGGGGCTGGGGAGCGACCTGCACAACCGCCTCCACGGGGGGCCCCTGGTCACGCACAGAGGCAGGATATCACATAAACTGCCTAGAAATTATTGCGGGCTCATTCGCAATACGGAGCCTTGCGGGTCCAGTGGCGGATCCAGTGGGGGGGCAACGGGGCAATTGCCCCCCCCGAGAAATCCGACGGTCTCCGTCCCCTGACAGCACATGCAGGCGCCAGCCCTGCAATGTGCCTGCGGACCAGAGGGGAGATCAGAGATCTCCCTCCCCGGTCCGCAGGCACTGTGCTGACAGCCGGCAGGGGAGGGAGAGGGAGGACCCGGGAGCTCAGACTGCAGCTCCTCCGGGTCCTCCTCTCGCGAGATTTGGAGCGTTGCCGCGGCTCCAAATCTCGCGAGAGTGAACTCTAGCCCTGGAGCGCGGGCTAGAGTTCACTCTCACCACTGGGACCACCAATGAATCCCTCACCGGACCACCAGGGAAATGCCCCCCCTCCTCCCCAGTAAAGGTAAGAAGGGAGGGGGGGCATAGAATATTTATTTATTTTAATTAAATTAAAAAATATTATATTATTAAAAAAAAGCCACCCTACCCTGATCACACACACATACATTGCCCCCAATACTGCCCCCCTTCACACAAACTGCCCCCATTCACACAAACTGCCCCCCCATTCACACACAAACTGCCCCATATGCACACACAAGGCACTGCCCCCATTCACACAAACTTATACACACAAACTGCCCCCATACACACAAGCTACCCCCATACACACACCTGCCCCCAGCCACACACACGCACTCCATACACACACACACTACTTAAGCACGCACACATACTGCCCCATACACACTGCCCCCCACATACATACACGCCTGCCCCACATACACATACACTGCCCCCCCCCATACACACACACACACTGCCCCCCATACACACACACTGCCCCAGAATACACACACTGCCCCTATACACACACTGCCCCCATACACACACTGCCCCAAATACACACAAGCTGCCCCAAATACACACACTGCCGCCATACACACACACTACCCGCCATACACACACACTGCTTCAGCCACTGCCCCCCCCCTTCCACACACAAACTGCCCCATTCACACACAAAACTGCCCCTATACACACAAAACTGCCCCATTCACTAAGCGAGCCCCATACACACACACACAAACTGCCCCATACACACACAAACTGCCCCCCCATACACGCACACTGCCCCCCATACACACACACTGCCCCAAAATACACACTGCCCCCCTATACACACACACTGCCCCCCATACACACACACTGCCCCAAATACACACAAACTGCCCGCCATACACACACACTGACCGCCATACACACACACTGCCCCCACATACACACACTGCTCCCCCATACACACATACTGCCCGCCATACACACACACTGCAATACTCACACACACTGCAACTGTTACACACACACACTGCATCCCTGACATACACTGCCGCCCTCACTCACACACTACAACCTTCACACACACACACACTGTACTCCTTACACATTGCACCACTCACACACACCACTGCTCCTATACCCTACTACAGCCCCATTTCCCAGATCTCAGGTAAGTTGTCAAACTGTTCTTAAATGGTTTGACTACTTACTGTGGGAGGGGGTCCCGGCACTATTGACACCATAACCACTACACTGAGCTGTAGTGGTTATTGTGTCTGGATTATTTCTTGATATAATCTACAAGTGCCTCTCCGAGATCAGGCTCTGGATCCGCCACTGTGCGGGTCATCTGTCGGATTGCTGCATCCTGCTGAGAATGGACAATATATCAACGGTACAACATATAAATCGACAGGTGTGTCGAACCTGACAGCGGACTGGTTCTCCAGGCACTGGAGGGATGCCAGCGATTGGTGGCTACATCGACCGATCTTCCTAGAAGTGGCACGATGTAGTCCATTCACGGTGGATCTGTTTGCCTCCAGAACGAACTTCCAGGTTCCGAATTATTTCAGCTGGCTCCTGGACCAGATGTGCGCAGCAGTGGATGCTTTCCTTCAGGACTGGCCATCACAGGGAGCCTATGCATTTCCACCATTCACTATGATCTCCAGGGTCCTACTCCAATTACGACGCCAACAGATATCGTTGGTGTTGCTGACACCCCTTTGGCAAGGTCAAGCTCGGTTCCCAGAATTACTGGAACTGTCATGTCAAGACCCGCTGCTCCTTCCGTCCACACAGACACTCCTGTCAGACT